GGAGTCTTGATGAACATGTGAGCGTGATTTGCCACTTGGCAACTCTACATACACTACTTGTGTACTGGATGACAGTTTACTGGAATAAAATATCCTTCTTCCGTTTCTAGGGTGATGACACGCGCAGTTAAGCGCTTAAATCTTACTGGCCTGCCTACAAGGTGAGTGATTTGTGCCTCTTTTGATCCTTGAGTTCTGCCCTTGCTTCAAAAGTCTAACATTCATCGCGGCGATACAAAAGATGGATTTAGATTTTACCTTCTGTCGATTTTTTTTTTAAAACAACACACACAATCCTCGCTTTGTAGTCTTGGAAAACAAAGGCACCAGCTTGCTTAGCCTTTTTGAGTCTGTCACCACAGCAGTAAATGTGTTGGCATCTTACTGCACATGGCAAAAATCTGCTCTTTGATTGTGCAATCAAGATTAGTTGAAGAGACAGTCAAGGCAGTTCAAAAACTGCTTTCCACTTGGACTTCAGAATGCTGATAAGCGATTGTAAATGTAAACAAAGGCAAACACAGTAGAAGGAGTTTGAAAGTGTTTTCGAGTGACTATGATGCCAACAATGACCACGTCCAAGAAAAGACCAGTCGCCAATGACAGGCTCAAGGTCGTTGGTTGGCAAGATCACGTGCCCCTACGTCCGTTGGCAACAGGCACGAGAGGATCGCAAAGAAAGGCAGCCTCGAAGACAAAGTTGTGGGTATTTATTGGTCGCCAAAATGGGGAGGAAGAAGAAGAAAAAGAAGAAGAAGAAGAAGAAGAAGAAGAGGGACAAGAAAGAATCACAATGCAGCAGACTAACGATTCTAGTGAAAGTATAAAAATATACAATCTACAGCTCCTTCAAGCACTTAGCTCGTAATTTTGTTGTTAGCATCCACCTCCTCAGGACTTGCCTCCGGCACCGACGACACCTTGTCTTGTGTTGTCTGCAAAGAGGAAGAGAAGGAAGGGAAAACACACCCTCCACAAGCCAAGACTCTCCATTAAGACGACCATTTTTAGCCCAAATTCTCTCAAAAAGGCATCCGATGAGGTGTCTAACTCATACGCGTAAACAAGAGGCAACAAATTTGACGTTGTCGTGCATAGTTAAGTTGGAGGAGTCAAAAAACCTTCCCGTTTACACAGACTTAAATGCATTCAACCCCTTTTTGATGTGTGCAGGGGCCAAATTTATGCATAAATTAACAAGATCGTGTCATAGAATTGAACCATCTCAATTTATTGTTTATATGAAGTAGAATTCACGCAGGTCCCGTGGTATCGGCCCCGCACGAATGACTGCTGTCAAAAAGGTCATTAAAGTGGGAAAATGAACAGTATTGTTGTTGGGCCACTACTTGAGGAGCAAAATTAGCGGACACCGATGTAGCTGATGGGTGAGC